TGTGAAACACTGGACGTGTAAAGTGTTCACACCCCTAATATAATCACGGTTTAGGGTGAGGGAATGTGAGCCAGCCGCCTGCCTAACGTTACAACTTCATGAGAACTACCCTCACAGCCACAACCATAGCACTGTCGTCCGTGAGAAAGCACATTGGCTCCCAATTCTACAGTAACCGCAGGCCTTGGAGGCACCCCACGGTACCAGTGACTGCTCCCATCACACATAACAGCTTCATGTTCCCTAGAGGCTTCACACGCGTGTCTCAGCCGTGGCGAGGGCGGCGCAGAGCAGTCCCAGGGAAGCGTGGCTGAGTCACGGCGGCCAGCCTGGCTCAGGTGGGGAGGCCTGGGGCACTGGCAGGTACAGCAGGTGACGGGGCAAAGCTGCTGGGGGCTCAGTGAGGACGAACCAGGCCGTCAGCCCGCACCTTCGACGGGCAGGTGAGTGCAGGGTGGGGTCTGGGCCAGGACATGCAGGGGCAGCTCAGACTCCAGGGCAAAGTGGGCGGAGTCGTAGGCTTGGGAATGAGGCTCAGGACGGGCGTGGAAGCAGGAGGCAGCCCCCGCCCCCCACACACACACACCCGGTTAACGTGAGGCCCCCACAGTTTGGATGAAAACCATGTTTAAATGTAGACACTGCCTCACACGTCACCTATGGCTGAAACACGCTTCCTCCCACCACAGGAGCCGTGGCTCCGGACGGGCCGCCCACCGTTTGATCTCATCTTTGCGCGTGTCCAGGTGGGGCCTAAGCAGCTGGAACTCGGGGCCCGAGGACACGAGCACGAACGAATCGAGGTAGTAGAACTGCGCGTGGTGCACAGGCTCCGGGAACACGTCTGTGCCCTGTAAGCACATCACGGCCGTTACCCGCACGCTATCATCATGCTACCAGCACACTACCATCACGCTACCCTCACGCTACATCACACTACCCACATGCTACCCTCATGCTACCCGCACACTACCCTCACGATACCTGCACACTACCCTCACGCTACCTGCATGCTACCATCACGCTACCCTCATGCTACTGTCACACTACCCACATGCTACCCTCATGCTACCCGCACACTACCCTCACGCTACCCACACAATACCCATACACTACCCTCACGCTACCCACATGATACCCTCATGCTACCCGCACGCTATCCGCATGATACCCACACGCTACCCTCACAATACCCTCACGCTACCCTCACGCTACCCTCACAATACCCTCACGCTTATCCCACTGGGATTAACGCCACTACTCTAACTGGCATTCTTCCATCTTTACACCTGACACCCACCTGTTCTAAATGTTAAACAGTCTCTGCTCAACCAGTTCACGATGTTTGCTTCCTCTCCCCCCCTTCTTCTAAAGATGTGATGACTAGATTTTCCTGTCATGAGTGTTTTGAGGTCTGAACTTGGCAGCAAAGCTATTAAGCATCAAGGATTTTGTTAAAGCCAAAACCTTACACAGGTTTAAGATGTAGTTGTGAGGGGCCCACGCTCACATTGCACAGCCCACACGTGTGGCCGTAACACCCCACAAGGAGGGGTCTCCTTGAAGGCGGGGCCACCGCCCGACCCCGGAGCCCACACCCGGCCTGTGCCCTCCCTCCCCCCAGGCCTCCTGGCCGCCCTTTCCTGCAATGAGCCTTGCAGGCTGGCAGTGCACGGCTCTCGTGTCCTGTTGTCACTCTCCCCTCTTGTCCTACTGGTCTGCTTCCGAACGACCTGCAGGTTCACTGAAACAAGATGTTTTCTCCCCAAAAGGCAGGCCGTAGGCCGCCATCACTGCCTCCCCTGCACAAGCACACTGGGCGCACGTTTAAAGTCCCCAGTGTTTCAATGTTAACAGCTTTGCCATCTTAACGAAAGGCATGTTTCACTGCGTGTGTGTGTGTGTGTCACACGTGTGCCCGTCGCGTGTTAAGAGCAGTCCGGTCACCAACTTCAGTGCCTGAGCAAACTCCTGGCCTCCTCGTTTCCCACCTCCTGGCATGGAGAAGGGCCTGCCTGCCCCACTGGGCCTCCCTGACCTCGAGGTGGCAGGGCTGGCCACCGAAATCGCCAGGAGTCACCCCTTACCAGGCACAGGGCGGGCTCCCGGCTGCGGGCCGACCACACCCTCAGGGTCCCGTCCAGGGAGGCCGACAGCAGCCACCGGGCATCGTGGCTCCAACCCAGGGCGCTCACTGCCCCATCGTGACCTAAAGGAGCCGTGGGAGGAGGGGATGGGACCAGGGAGAGAGAGGTCTGATCTGATTGGTTCTGATCAGTTCTGACAGGACCCGAGAAAAAGTGGCTCTGCTGCCCCCTGGTGGCCTTTCGGGGACTTTCCATCTCACTGCTGCTGAGCTGACAATGGTCACTGGTAATGGCAGTTGAGGCTCCGCACCACTGCCCAGGTGCTCGGGTGCCCAGATGTCCAAGTGCTGCCACCCACACAGCCCAGGGGAGGGCAGCCCCACCTACCGTCCAGCTACGGCACCTCCACACGCACCCTCTTTCCAGCCGAGCGGCTCCCTCTCCTGGCTCAGGTCACCCCGACTCCCTCACCCACACTCAGCAGAGCTGATGAGGCCACACGTCAGAGGGACGCCCGCCCACAGGAAGTCGCCACATGTAACTGGGCTCCAGCCGCAGCTCTGGGCCCACAGCTGACCCCACTCTGGGGGAGGGCAGGCTCAGCGCAGGCCAATGGGTTAAACCTCGCTGCTTCCTCCCCCGACTCAAGTCGGGTTCTACTCTGGTCTTGTCCCAAAGGGAACGAAAGTGGCCTCAGCGACCAACTCCAGGGCCGAGAGACCCGCCCGTAAGTTCACGGTGACCGGGGTGGCCACGTCGTACCTGAGAAAACAGCAGGTGCTCCAGTCAGACGGGCGTCGAAGACCAGGGACAGGTGGTCGGCCAGGCCACAGGCCAGCCAGCGCCCGTCTCCTGCTCGAGAAAGCAGAGACGATGCTCAGGTGAGTGGATCGTCCCCTCGGGAAGCGACGGCATCCGAGACGAGCAGGTCCCGGCTCCCGAGGCTGAGCCCAGCCCTGAGGCTGCTGGGCTTCGTCCACGGGGAGCTGAGGACGAGAGGCTGAGGAGCCAACGCGGGTCTGAGCCCCGAGCTCCCTGGACCCCGGCTCCGCCCTGGGCCCCTGCCGTCGGCCTGCCCCAGCAGACGCGTAAGCGGCATGTTTGCTAAGCAGTTCCGTCTCACGTTTCCCTAAGGGGAGGCAGAAATCAACTACGACTTCCTCCAGGACGTTCAGGTGGCGGGTCCTACCTCGCAGTCCCACGCTCAGTAGCAAGCACGTCCAACGTCACAAAGACGTGTTGTTCACTGAGCGAGGCTGCGGTCTGTGGGGGACAGTACGTCCAGCTCTCATCTCCCATTATCCTACAGCGTGTTTGGCTGGAATTGCATGAAAAGCAAAGGGGACTCAGCACGGCTGTCAGTAACCCCAGATCCGCCAGTGGTACTCGGGCAGCGGCTGGAGGGGTGGCCCGGGTGCAGCACCGGCCAGGCCCCGTCCACCGCAGACCGAGGGCAGGGCCTGGGGACCAGCATTTACTCTGAAAGGAGCGGAGATCAGTGAGACCGGGAGCTGCTTCAGGAAAGCCGCCTCCTCTCTCCTCCCAAATTCATTAGAAAAACGCCGGTGGCCAGAAGGGAAGTCTGGGGAGGGGTCTCGATGCCCTTGGACAGGACAGCTGCCACAGAGCCGGGCGGCCTGGCCGCGGGAGGGACAGTGCTGACGGACACACAGTCCTCGCCTGTGGGCTCCTCCGCCCCCCAGGGGAAGGGGAGGGGCTGCTTTTCCTCCCCACACAGACCCTCCGAGCAGCCTTCCCCCCAGGCCCTCATGTGAGGAAAAGGCGGACACGGCGACTCCGCAGGCCTGGAGTGCAGACGGAAGCTGTGCGGCCGGGCTCTGCACCCGCTCCTCCCACACACAGGGGACAAGTGCCGGTCTCAGTCCAAACCCAGCACTGCCCTGTGGCTCCAGGCCACCGAGGTCGCGAGGCTGCAAGGTCACAAGGTTGCTTAAACTCTATGCACGAGGGCCACGGGCAGTGAGCACCTCCCCACGCCGTACCTGAGAACTGCACGCAGCGCACGGCCACCGGGCCCGGGGCCACAGCCAGCCGCCTGCGGAGCTGGGTCGGCGGAGGGCTGTCCGAAGGGCACTCCTGGCTTAAGGAGGCGGAGAAGACAAAGGTCAGGAGGGAGCTCAAGTGAGACGGGCAGTAAATGCACTGGATCCCCCGTTTCTGTGTGTAGCTCCATCCCACCAGACAGGGTGCAGACGCACGTAAACTCTGACTCCAGGACCACGAAATGACTCTTGAAAGACTAGCATCCCTTCGTGCCAACATGCAGGTGTTTAAGCACAAACACCAAGCACTGACCACATGTAAGTGACCTGGTGGGACTCCGTGACGGCTCAGGGAGGGGCAGGTCGGTTCTGCTTTGAGTTTAGACCCTGTGGGTCGTGTCTCCCTCACACTGACTGCTTCCATCGTGAGCAGATCATCACCTTCCCAGCTTTCAGAAGAAACCAGGGACGGGCTGACAGACACACATCGATGGTGCACACGTCTGTGTACACGTGTACATACATCAGAGTTAACTTCAACTGAAGGACATACATCAGTGCATGCACACGTCTGTGTACACATGTACATACATCAGAGTTAACTGTGACCGAAGGACATACATCGATGGTGCACACGTCTGTGTACACATGTACATACATCAGAGTTAACTGTGACTGACGGACACACATCGATGGTGCACACGTCTGTGTACACATGTACATACATCAGAGTTAACTGTGACCGAAGGACATACATCGATGGTGCACACGTCTGTGTACACATGTGCATACATCAGAGTTAACTGTGACTGACGGACACACATCGATGGTGCACACGTCTGTGTACACATGTACATACATTAGAGTTAACTTCGACTGAAGGACACACATCAGTGCGTGCACACATCTGTGTACACATGTACATACATCAGAGTTAACTGTGACCAAAGGACATACATCGATGGTGTACACGTCTGTGTACACATGTACATACATCAGAGTTAATTGTGACCAAAGGACATACATCAGTGCGTGCACATGCCTGTGTACACATGTACATACATCAGAGTTAACTGTGACCAAAGGACATACATCAGTGCGTGCACACATCTGTGTACACATGTACATACATCAGAGTTAACTGTGACCAAAGGTGCGTGCACATGCCTGTGTACATGTGTACACGCACACACACACATACAGGTCTACACCTGTGTGGAAAGTCAGTGAACTATTTAAAGGGTTTCTCCAAATCACCAAGTTTACTCGGAAGGTCAGCCAGCTGCCCACCAGGTATGAGTGCTCCTGCGCCGTGAAGGTCTCCTACGGCCACTCTTGACATGGGTCTTGGGTGAGAACATGGTCACACTGCAGGAAGGAAATGCTCACGTCAGCTTCCGAGGTGAGGGGCCTCAGCTGCTTAAGAGAACAGTGAGAAGCACAGCACGCACACGGGCCATCGCGTCCCCAGGCAGTCACACGCGGAGTGACCGAACTCCGAGACTCGTCAGCACCGGCCAGCAGTGTCCGAGACTCGTCAGCACCGGCCAGCAGTGCCGGGAACTCGTCAGCACCGGCCAGCAGTGCCGGGAGACGCACTGCGCCGGGCAGCAGGCAGACTGGCCAGGCACCCCAATGGGGA